ACCAGAGGTGACTTAGCTTGTCCCAAAGTCAATTTGGAATGTTTTAAACGTGCATTTAGTTATCTTTGTCCTAATTTGTATAATAATTTACCAATTGAGCTCCGGGACTGCAAAATAGAAAATATATTTAAACTTAAGTTAAAACGATATATTTTAAACTGTTAGCCGTTGTTTATTGCTGTTTTATTGAGCTATTCTTATTATTACGTTGTTTGATTTTATTCAATATTATACTATATTATATTACATTATATTAATAGGCATTATAAATTAAACTTCTATTTTGAATTGTCTTTATGTAAGTCAATTAAAAATTTTTAAGACTTGTTATGAGGATTGTATGTTATTATTATTATTATTATTATTATTATTATTATTATTATTATTATTGTTATTACTATTATGTTGTAATGATGTTGTTTGTACTGTTCTTTAATTTTATTAAAGAGGTTGAAATGGTTGATGGGTGAAAGAGCATTAGTGTTTAACCTGGAAATTTCTCATAACAAGCTAATTTTTCAGGATAGGTCCAAATTATGAGTCCTGAAAAATCCTACTGGGGCTTTCCGCAAAATCCAAGATGGCGTCCAAAACGGCCGCCGTTTTTATATTTTATCATAACTTCGCAGCCAGACAAATTAGAAGCACAAATGTGCATAAATATATGTTTTAAGGTACAAGGAATACAATAAAACCATTATATGGAGTGTCCAATTTTTATAAGCACCTCAAAGCCAATAAGCCTATGGTGTCCAAAATGGCCGCCATTTTGAAACGTTATCCTACCAAGCTGGTTAGAACCTAGAAATTTGGAAACCCAATTGAAGTTTATAAACATATTTTAAGGTACAAGGAATGTAATAAAATCATTATCTAGAAGGTTTAAATCTATCTAGAAGGTTCAAATTTTCGCGGGTGTGCCGCTATTAAAGTCTCTATTTTACCTTTTCTCGTGATGTCTTGATGCTTCGAATGTGTTTTTCCTGTCAATTGAATTGGTTTTTGTGAAGATTGCGTATGGTTTGAGTGGATTTTTCCACTTTTTTAAACTTTAATTTCGACTTGGACTATTTCTACGCACTCGCCATCATTCACAGCTTATGGCGGTCTAAGCGTCAGTCACCTGTGAATCAAGGGCAGAAGCCTAGCTTTGAATCGACTCCAGTCTAGCCTAAAAAACTGTCACAATGAAACTTACGTATTCTAGAAACGAACTCTTAAAGATACGTGCGGGCTATATCACACCAAAACAGATGGATACTGATGAATGGGAGAATATTAAGAAAATTTGGATTTGCAGGAAAAACCGAAGCCGACGAGGGGGAAAAAACATCCGGAAGAAAATCCAGAGCAGGATCACGTCAAGGTCTGCAAACAACAAGAACTTTGAACTGAGACAGACAGTTCTTAGAAAAATACAGAAGAAACCTCATGTTCCTAAGGAATACTTATTACCGAACTTATTTCTAACAAATGCCAGATCTTTGATTGAGCATGTTGAAGATGTCCGAATTCTCATCAACAAATACAATTCTGATATTCCATTATTACTGAAACATGGCAAAAACCCAGTATCTCAAACAGTTATCTTTCAATCGAGGGATTCAATCTTTATACTAATTACCGCAATGACAGACGTGGAGGAAGAGTAGCACTATTCTGCAAGTCAACAATTCAGTCAAACATCACTGAACGGGTGGTTGTCCCACCTGACATTGAATGTCTGTGGGTAATGACGCGCCCCACCCGTTTGTCAAGATCCTTGTGCATCATTATTGGAGCTGTTTATATTCCGTCCGGTACACTACAACCATACCGTTTACGTGTAATTACACAAACCATCGACTTCCTGAAACAAGAACATCCGGAAGCAGGGTTAGTGATAATGGGGAATTTCAATAGAACTAAGGTGAATACCATTTATCAAACCCACAAACTGAAACAAGTAGTAAATATTCCCACCAGAGGCGAAGCTATCCTTGATATTATCTTGACTAACCTCAGCACAGGTGAACCCAGTGTTGAATCTGCGCTGGGACTCGGTGATCATAATGTAGTATGTTATGCAATCTAAAGGCATAATCACAAATCAAGCTAAGAAAAGCAAATTTCTTGCCAGACCCCTCAAGGCTGCTAGCATGCAAAGTTTTGGTAAATGGATTACCAACCACGACTGGTTCGAAGTATACAATGCGCATGACACTCAAAGCAAAACAACCACTTTCTAAAACACCATCCACAATGCTATTGATAGTTTTATTTGTTCAACCAAACTGATCACAAAGCATTCAAACAACAAACACTGGCTTACAGCGGAAACCAAGAGCTTAATTAATAAGAGACAATCACCGATCAAAACTGAAGGTAAATCTGCTACATGGAAAGCGTGTCGTACTCAAGTACAGGAAGCCATTGCAAAAGACAAGAAAAAGTTTTATCAAAGAAATATTCAAAAATTTTTATCGTCAGACCCATCGAAATGGCACAAAGGAATCCAGTCGCTAGCTAAGCGTATTAAGCCACAACCTACTGTTTTTATCGAAGATATCGACCCTGATAGGCACTTTGAAATTGCGAATCCTATCAATAATTATTTCGCTGAAATATCTCAAAGCTCCCCGAGAATTGAGAGAGAGGGGCTCCCTTGTTTTTTGCCTCATAACAAACCTGTGAAAATAACAGAGTGGGAAATGTACTGCAAACTAAAAAAAATCAGTGTATCTAAATCTGCAGGCCCTGACAACCTTCCTAATAAATTGGTAAAGGAATTCGCTTGTGAATTAAGTGGGCCAGTCACTAACATTTTAAACACATCCATGAATGAAGGAACTGTACCCACTGAATAGAAGGAAGCAATTGTTGCCAAAACAAAGCAGTAGTACCACAGATGTTAACAAACTAAGACCAAATTCACTTACACCGGTTCTCGCAAAAGTAGCTAGAAGTTTCATTACTAAATTATTGCTGATATTAAAGAAAATTTAGATAATAGTCAGTATGGGAGCCTACAGGGGTGTTCTACAGCGCACTATTTAATCGATTTACTTAATATGTTCTATGTTGGAAGTAACGATACAAAAACAATTGGGCGCCTTGTTCGTACAGACTTTTCAAAGGCGTTCGATTGTGTAGACCATACAAAAGCAATCTCAAAATTGGTGTCACTCGGATGCAGATCTGAAATCCTACCATGGATTATCAGCTTTATATCAAATCGTACTCAAAGAGTCAAATATGAAGGAGTAATATCAAACAATATTAATCTTACTTGTGGGGTACCCCAGGGTACAAAATTTGGACCCATTATATTTCTCGCCCTGATTGATGATGCTTTAAATGTACCCAATTGTTCCACATGGAAATATGTAGAAAATCTTAGCATAGGCGAAGTTGTAAACAAACTGTCCCAATCACGAATGAAAAATCATGTACAAAACTTAGTTGAATGGTCTGATGTCAACAAACTGAAGCTTAACCCAGGAAAATGTAAATCCATGAATTTTAATTTTCAGAGACCTAAGGTTGACATACCCCCATTAAGAATGTTGGATCATGTTTTAGAATCAGTATCTGAAACAAAGCTATTAGGAGTTTGGATCCAGAATGATCTCAAATGAAATAGAAATGTAAATGAAATTATGAGTAAAGCTAGTAAACGGCTGTTCATGCTAAGCAAATTAGCTGGTATCTCTAGGAATGATTTAATTGATGTGTATTCAAGTCATGTTAGGCCATGCGCGGAATATGCTTCTGTAGTATCTCATTCTGGAATTAATGAGGAGCAAAACAAGAAAATTGAGCCCATCCAAAAGAGAGCCATTGGAATTATCTTGGGTTTTAAAAGATTTGATCATGATTTTGAGATTTGCAATCTTACTACACTTGAAAATCTTAGATATGATCTATGTGTTAAGTTCGCAAATAAATGCTCCAAAGATGTAAGGTACAGCCACTGGTTTAAGCCAAACAAATCCACTCACACTATGTCACTACGTAACCATCGAATGTATAACGAAATCAAGCCCAATTTTAAAAGGTTCAGATATAGTAGTGTTCCCTTTATGGTAAAACTTTTAAACAAAGAATGATGAATTGATTTGATCAAGGCTAACTAAAAAAAAAAAAAAAAAAACTTTCCCACTTTTTTACTGCCTGTTTTTATTTCCTCTTACCCAAATTTTTAAATTTTTGAAAGAATAATGAAAATTAATATGGCAATTTATAATTGTTGCTGAGATTATTTTAATTATTTTATTCTTATTTTTTTAGATATCTTTTTTCTGCTTTTTTTAATGTGTTTTATCTGTGTTTTTTAAACTTTGTGGTGCAGTGTGTTGTTCAATTTTTTCTCTTCTGTACTTTTTAATAACAATTTTATCTGTATATATTGTAAACCCCTGGCAATTCAGTATTTTACTGCCAGTTGAAGTTAATAAAGAAATCTGAAAAAATTTAAATCTGATAAAATCTGAAATCTTATACAGTTAGTATCATAAACCTAAGATGGCGTCCAAATTCCGCCATTGTCAAAAGTTATTGTAGCAACCAGACAATTTGGAAAGACAACTGAATATTCTAAACATATTTTATACAAATAATACAATAAAATCAAGATCTCTGAGGGTCTAAATCTTATTAATACCACGAAACCAGATTGCATCTACAAATGGCTACCGTTGTCAAACTTTACTATAATTTTACAAACTTAAATGTTGGAAATAGAAGGTAGCTTAGCATAGACCAACATGTGAATTTGTGACCAATACGTTAAAATCATTTAAATTAACGTTTGATCGTGTAAACACTACAACACCACTACAAGAGAAGTGCAAAAGGGCTGTCGTTATAAATTCCTAATGTACGTAGGTTTTCAACCAAGCATGCGGAATCTAAGTTATCTAAACATGTGTTTTATTTCAAAAATCATTTCCAAGATAACTAATATGATACCAAAATATCTGCCCTTTTCAACTTTAAAAAGTAATATTTAGATTAGACAATCTAGATATGAAAAGCAGTCAATTACATTCATCATCTGTTACAGTATTTTCAACACTGTTATCCACTGTTGGCACAACATCATCGTATCATTATTTGACATAATGTTGGTAAAGTCAGTAGTGTTTGACCACAATATCTATTGCGAATTTAGGTGACAAAGAGTGCAAGATTCTTGCAACTAAATGTGATGTTGGTAAAACCATCTTGTTTGTACCTACATGACACCATCTTTAGAAAAGTGTCAGGTGCAACATGATTCTATTGATCCAACCAATATGGAACTGAGATTCTGCGGTTTCGAATGATGACTGCTGCGGCCATTTTGAACGCCATTTTGGTTTTAGGGTACTTATGAGATTAGGAACCTCCAGATATTGATCTTATTGTATTACCTGTACCTTAAAACATATATTTAGACACTTCATTTGTGCTTCAAACTTATTTGGTTGCAAAAATACGATAGAATTTTAAAATGGGACGCCATCTTGGCTTTGGGGTACTTATAAGTCTTAGACACACCGGATAATGGTCTTATTGTGTTTCTTGTACATTAAAACATATATTTAGACACTTTATTTGTGCTTCCGACTTGCCGGATTGCAATGTTATGATAAAATATAAAAATGGCGGCCATTTTGGACGCCATCTTGGATTTTGCGGAAAGCTCTAGTAGGATTTTTCAGGAATCTTAGTATGTTATTCTAATCGTAATTTTGAGCCTATTCTGAAAAATATAGCTTGTTATGAGAAATTTCCAGGTCTGTCTAAATTTTCGACCTAATGCTCTTGGACAGCATGTCATCATGTGTTAGAGTTAATAACGAATAAAGCAATTTACTAGAATGTAATTTAGGAATACAAGGATGTAGTCTCTCACCTCTTTTTTGTTTATACATTTTTGACTTAAATGATTACTTAATTGAACATGACATCAGAGGTATCCAAATTGAGACCGTCGAAGTTAGCAATCTTGAATATATTTAAGATATTTTCATATATTCTTGTTGGCTGACACATCATATAATCTTAAAAATATGTTGTATGTTCTAGTGCAATATTGTGACATGTGGGATTTAAATTTAAATATGGAAAAAACGAAAGCCATGGTATTTCGAAATGGTGGAATCGTTAAAAGTACTGAAAATGGGTATAGAAAATTGTAAATATTATTGAAATTGTCCTATATTACACATATCTAGGCATAAAGACAAGCTCTAGAGGTTGCTGAAGTGCAGCTATACAGACCCTCACAAAACAAGCAAGTAAAGGCTTATTTAAGATTAGAAGTTTCCTAGACGGTAATAGCAATATTAGTTCAGACATTAAGATGTATTAATTTGATACGGTGGTGCGACCGATCCTTCTTTATGGTTCCGAGGTATGGAGATATCATAGGATGACAAGTTATGAGACAACACACACAAAATTTTGTAAAAGTGTGTTAGCAATCCCATACTCTGCAAATAATGCTAGAACTCTTGCGGAGCTTGGCCGCTACCGTATCCCTTATGGATACAAATTAATAAAACATCATTGCACTATTAGTTAAAAATCATAACAATGGAACCAAAACGGCCTATTTTAAAGCATAGGAGATGCATCTCACTCTTTAGGATAGGATGTTATAACTATAACTTGAACTTTAATGACTTGAGTGAAGAACAACTTAAATTAGGTAACATATGGAATAACCTTGGTAAAACTGAAGACGAATATCATTTATGTTTTATCTGTCCCGCGTATAAAATAGAAAGAGAGTCTTTACCTTGCCCTCAACTATAAAGTCATACAAAGTTCTCCTGACTCATTGGCCATTGGTCAAAGGAAACATCTTATATTCTACAATTCAGCAAGTTAAGTTTGTCCAACATTTTAAATATATCATGAAACAATTGCTACAATTTGTGACAGTACCTGTAAATCAACAGTGATCAACTTAGTCAGCGCTGATGTTGGCCAGTCTCGCGAGCGATGCAAAACTGTTCATATTTTTCGTCTGAATGGAGATTTAAATCAAATCAACCTTAATTTCAAGAGTTTATGAATCATTCAAAATGTATACATTGTTATAAAAAGTATCTTCTACTCTAACTTAATTACATTTTGGACAATTTAATAGACACCACCTTCGACTCGGCTCAAAGCATTAGCACAGTACTTTGACGATATAGACAACTTTAATACCCACTCAGCCAAATTTTGATGGCGTTATCTTTGGTCTATTGAACGCTAAAATCAAGGGAATTACGTGCCATAGACAAAACAAGATAATTACCCTTACTCTCTAGTATCTGAACTTTGCTACTTGTTTCGATAAAAAGAACAATAGGACCACTAAAAGAAGATAGGTTGCAAGATGCATGTTATCTCGCTCAGTTATTTTTTTAACGTAATGTCAGATATGCAGTGGTAGTCCAGGTACAGGTGTTGATAGCATTTTCACATAATTTTTCATAACATCAAAATATTTATAAACTACTAAAATGAGATGAGAATGTATTGGTTAAGGGCAACTAAAGCAAAGTTTTATTGTAATCAATGAGAAGCCAAAAACTGACTGTGCTTCACGAATATCGACTGTGTTAACTGAATGTGCCTGAGTATGCTTGAAAAATCGACTGTGTCTGAAGGTTGGCGTTTATTATAAAGCCTGGATGCGGAAGTAATAATTTTGCTGTTTTGGCGTTCCATATAAAACCACAACGTAAACAGATTATTTGATTGCATCTTTCCGATCCAACATAAAAAATAAAGTCATAATACAATAACTTTAAGTGGGTCCGCTGCTATTTGTAATTTTTATAAATGATTTACCTGATGTTGTTTCGCAGTCATACATTGAACTCTTTGCGGATGACACAAAGTTATATAGATTAGTTAATTCACATTCTGATAGAAATGTTTTACAAGCTGATATTGATAATTTGTATAAGTGGTCAATTGACTGGCAATTACCTTTTAATTTGACCAAATGTAAAGTTATGCATTTTGAGACTCGTAACTAGCACTTTGGTTATTTTATTGGTGACGGGATTTTCAGAGTTAGAATAGATTGTGTATCTGAAGTTAAAGACCTGGGTATATTATTTGATAAAAAGTTTGATTTTTCTGCACATGCTGTAAATGTTGCCCGATCAGCTAATAGGATGCTTGGTTTAATTATTTGGTCATTTAATAACCTTGCTGGTAATGGTTATATGTCTCTCTATAAGTCTATAGTAAGACCTTCCCTTGAGTATGGGGGAAGCGCTTGGTCTCCCTTATACAAAAAAGATAGTGATTTGTTAGAAAGGAATATGTGGATAGATTAAAAGAGTTAAATTTACCTACTCAGTTAGAGTAGTGAATGATTGGAATGCGCTTCCAAATTATGTTGTGTCTGCAAAGACTGTAAATGTTTTCAAGTCGGGTTTGGAAAAAGGAAACTGGTCTGGCCACCGATTGAATACAGCCCGTATGTATCTGAAGATTCTTGGATGAATCAAGAGGGACAAATGAGCACAGGTATCTAAGTCTCGAAGCATCAAGGTAAATCAAGGTAAACAAACGTAAGTAGACCATTATAGGCACCACTAGACAGCGAAACAATTTAGCTGTACAAAAAAAAAAAAAAAAA